TGATCATTTCTCTCTCTCGCCCATTTGTAACCCCTACTACAAACTTTTAGCGCTAGTAACACGAGCAACAATGACTAACTGGACGTAGGGACTTTCTGCCCGAACCAATTTAAACCTTGTGTCCTCTAAGCACATCATCCGAGCCAGACGCGCAATACTAGAAATTACTCGTTGGTGGTAACTCGAAACACCGACAACATGTTTTAGTAAATGATTCAGGGTGTAACACCGAGCGTGTCACAGTAACCACCCCATATTTTAACCTACCTAGTATATACGCTTTTACACGCATACACACTTACATCTATGAAAAGCGCACACATTCTCTATGAGCAAGTCAATACAAAAGTCTCGATATCGATGGGCATGTTATTTACCACTGAAAACATAGCAACGTATATTCATAAAACAAATACACAACAATGCGAGAACCCATCTTCAGTCTGGAACTCAACCCCGAGTGAGCGGGTTGAACCACAAGGAACCAAACCAGTTTGTGACATTTTTTAATTCACTTTCATATCATTCTACGTGTTAACTTCATGCTAATAGTTTTGACCTCACCAAACACAAATCATTTGCATGTTAGTAAACAAGAAAAAACATTCTACGCAACGAAGGACATTAGTTTGTGATATGGTAGTATCTAGCTGCTGGAGCATGTCCTATCCAGCATCATTTTTGTTGTCGTCGAAGCCACAAACTTCTACGTAGTCTTGATCACCATAGCCTATTTAAAATGGATAATGAGAGTACCTATATACTAACAAAGAAGCACCAAAAGAAGACCATATAAAATTTAAATAATTCCGGACAATGCACATAAGATAGGCCATCATTTAAAAAAAGTCAGGTTTCATATTTTTCGTAGCGGAAACAACTTTTTTAACATTAAACCAGATTTTAGGATTTTTAATTGCGTAGTTTTTCTGAAAAGTGTTTGGTTTTCTTTTTGGAAAAATTTCTATAACTTTTTCTATAAAGTTTATTCAAACCATAGATTATCAACGTAGTCCGGTTTATCTCCCTCGTGACTGATATTGTGTCATATATTAACGTGTCTAACGTGACACCATGTCGGATAAAACCAGTACTAAAACCGTCCAAGAGCAATTTAGGAATGTTAAGTTACGGAATGTCAAAAATTGTCTAATGTGACACCATGTCAGATAAACCCGCAAGTAAAACCGTCCAAGAGCAATTTCGGAATGTTAAGTTAGGGAGTGTTGAAAATTCGGTTTTATGACTGAGGATTGAGGAAGGAGAACCAACTTCCAAGTAAAGTTGGAGATAAAGAGGACCTTTTCTGCTACTATATGATATGATAAGAGCTGAAAATTGGATAAAGAAACTGCGACCCAAATCGAATGGGTTTACGAAGATGGATGTCCCACACTGACCATTATTTATTTTTGAAAATACACTGACCATTATTTATCAATGATCCAGTGGCCCATCAAGATCAAATAGTACTTCCATGCATGCAACGCTGCAAGCTCAGAAAACAGTGAGTATACAGATAGACACTCCGATTTATACAGATAGAAAGCAGTGCTATATATTTCTTTGCCCTTCGGCAATGAGGAATGAATGGCACGGCAGTAGCTTCATTTATTTTGTCAGTTTTCGCCATATGCAATAAAGAAACTTTGCCTTGCGTGTCTACATACAGCTCCATTCAGCAATGGCTATTTCATTTCTGAGTGAATTCTTACTAGGACTAATTGAAAATCCCACGAGCAGCTAGCAGCCGCCTCATGCAGGCAGAGTCTGATGAAGAGCCATCCAGCCCATCCTATAGGAAAAAGAATTGAAAAGATCTGACATCCCTTCTGTTCTTGGGAGACAATAGTATACGAAAGTTACCTCACATTGCAGGGCATTACATACCCGTTCTGTTGAAAAAACATAATTTACTGTAATTATGAGCAATAAATTCTCACTCTGAGGATTCTGCTCTGCAGCATTGAGGTTCTGTTTCGGTGTTTCCTTTCCTCGGAGCTGAAATATGGAGTTGTTGTGTAGCGTTTGTTTGTGTGTGAACATACTCCGTAAAAGAAAAAGACTAGATCGAGTCCAAAAAGCTATCATCTATCGCGTGAATGTTTCATCAAAATGAGGAGCATTAAATGTAGTAAAAACGTGGATTATTGCACAGTTTGATGGGAAATTGGCTAACGTTTTGGTAATTAGTCCAGAGAGAAAACACTATTTACCAAATAAAAACGAACTTTCTGATGAAAATTTACGATAAACAAGGGCTAGATCGAGTAGCTAAACTATACTAGGAGCATATACTTTTTCATCGATGGTAGTAGCCTTGGTATGGTAGGTTCATTGTAGCCCTTTCCTTCGTGTTCTTTCATCGTTCTGATGTTTTGGCTCCTATCAACATTCTATGAAACAAAAAAGCGACTGCATGCGCAGCAGGGGCAAAAGGCGTAAAACGAAGCACGTTGCGCGTAGACATGCATGGCATCAGGAAAAAAAAATGCCACGGCGGGGGGCATGCAAAAGGAGAAGGAACCCATGCCCGGTGCATGTGCATCAATAATGTTAACCCCATATAGCTACTGTCCACAAAGAAGGAAATGGCGGGCAAGAGGATAAGCAGATTGCCTATTGCCTTTGCCGAACAGGGCACTGGACGCAGCCCTAGTGCTCTAGCTAGTCGCTGCTGATCAGAACAGCAGCGGCGAGACCAGTACAACCGCAGTAATTTAACGTTGCCATTCTTTAACTCCATACTAGGTGAAAAAGTAATGCCTACAGAAAAGCCTGCAAAAATCTTTGCTGTCATTGAGAAATAAATGGTTTTATAAATGCTCAGCAACATGTCGGAGTAGAAGGTGTTACGCATGGCTTCATTAAGGTTGTCTTGAGATGGGCTGGATGTTCTTTGATTCGGCTGATCTGAAGATTCTCAGGATTTAAGAAGCAGATTGCGGCAAGCAGCAGATGATAAGCCTGCAGTAACAGATCGGAAAGGTCGAGAGGATGATGGGATAGCATGGCTCCTTCGACGCCGTAACGGTTCTTGGAATCAAGCCCTTGGACGAGGTTGCGCCTAGTCAGGAGGCTTGGGCCGTTCGCTTCGTTGAAAAAACAAATCGAAACGCTTATTTTGGTGATTTGTTGTAAGAGAAAAATATTATTCCGGTTAAAAAACAAACTTAAAAAATGGATTATAAAATAAACGACTAGAGCCGATAATAGGCATCGCTAATCCAGTGAAACGAACGAATCAATTGAGACGGAAGGAAAGGAACAGGACCCTACCAAGGGAAAGGTCAAAAGGTTGCTACCACTACAACCTGCACGGCAGTCCGAGAAGGGTCTCTTCTGCTGGGACTGCGACCATGCACTAGTACTCACATGCATCGTCTGTGGAAACGCCGAAACGGTTCAGAAAAGGGGCCACACTGCCCACTGCCCAGAAGAGGGAACCAGACCAGGACGGCCGCAATGGCCGCCCAGATAGGCTTGCTGGGACACGAGAAGCCAAGAAAGATTCACAGATCGGTCATTGCAGTAATAAAGGAGTTGCAGCAATGGGTGCTGTATGCACGGGCACAGCCGCACAGCGCCACAGCTCCTGCCAGGCAGCCAGGAGCCAGGCCAAATGGCGCCGGCCACAAGAGGAAGAGGCCCTCCCTTTGGCACACAGCTATGAGCCATCCATCATCGATGGACGATGGCCATGGCCCATGGACAAAACCCAGACCAGAGACCTCTCGGGACAAAAGGCCTTGTCGACCACTCATCTGCCTTTGGATCCGTGCGCCTGCCCGTTGTCTCCGTCCCTGCAACTTCGACAGCGGCACAGCGCCATGCATGCTGCAGTAAATGCTGGGCGCGCATTGTTGCTGTTGCTGAACCGAGTCCTGGCTCGCATCGCATGCTCAACGAGTCACGGAGATTACAGAGGCTGCGGACGAGGCGGCTTGGCATTTGTTACTGAGCGGAGGGCTGACCCGCTGCTGCGACCTGCGATGTGCCGAACCCCGAGCCGATGCTCCTGGCCTTGAGCAGAGCATGGGGTCAACGGTGTGCCGGAGTACGCAGCTCGGCGGGCGGGCAGACCGGCAGAGGCAGAGGCAGAGGCACGTCAAGTCGTCAAATTCTTGCACAGTACTAGACTGCACAGAGCCGTTTCAACTGTGTAAAAGCACTACTACGACTACGCTGTAGCTGGGGCTTTGGTATGTCGCGGCCAAGCGGTGGCAGGTGCCATTGCTTTTGTTCTCGCCGGTACCAGTAAATAGCACTTCTGCTGACTGTTGCGGTGTCGTCATTTTTGCTTTAGTAGATCCACTCAAGCCCGAAGGGAGTGAACAGATGATCGATACTCGCAAAAACTGACGTCCAGCGGTCATACGTTGCGGTTGGACTGCAGGGATTTACATAGGAATTTTACTGAAATCAGTTTAATTTTCAATTTCACAAGAAAAAACACAGGAACAGACAGTTTTTCCCCACGTTTCAAATAAGCCCTGAGATTCAAAATGGCAACCATGATGCACCAAAATGGCAAACCTATTCGGCTGGTCTATAAGCCGATTATGCTGATTTATACAGCTGATTTGTTGGAAAAAATAATACCATAGCTGATAAGGCAGCCGAACACATGGGTCATCGCCAGTGGAAGTTTGCAGAAAATACACACCACGGATATGTAAGAAGCAGGCAGTTTTTCTTCTTTATATTCCACGCTTTCTTCGATAACAAGGATCCATGTTCCGAATGACTACAGGAAGAAACACCAGAGGCTGGGGCGCAATATCAGACAAGGACACGTTACATCAATGTACAAGCATAGATGAGAGAAAACGTCGGTTTCATCATATGTCCAATTATTAACCAGCCAGATTTCATAAGAGCACAACAAATACATGTGTTTAAGCAACTGTTCCTTAGCGAAAAACGAAGGATGCCCAGGTCTGAAAGCCTTATTCATGCCCTCACGACATGATGGGATTCTCAATGCCTACAACATGCCCTTACCAAACCTCAGGGCGGAGCTCACCAGTAGCCGGGGGCATCCATTTCCCGGAGTTGTACACGTTCTCGCCAACCTTCCACCCTGGAACATCTTTCATGATCCTCGCCTCCTCCTCAAGATACTTCTTCCACTCTTTCACAAATCTACATGAGCACCATGGACCTCAAGTGTTATGTGAATGCCAGAGAAAATATAACACCAACGATAATGGCAGTCAGTATTAGATAGTACCTTTCATCCTCTTCAGCTTGGAGCATCGGCAGTATAGCACTCCGAGCAGCAATTTTCTCTTCTTTGAGTGCCCTGCATAATTTCAACCTCATGAAACTAAGACTGATGAGCTAAAGGTATATATATAACATGGCAAATATGTAGTGGGAACCAGCTACTAAGTGGAAACATGGAAACCAATTCACAAAATTCACATGCAAAAGTGCATACATTGTACTCACATTGCAAAAGTTGGCACATCCATAGTGCAGACTCATATGTACTCACATGCAAAAGTTGGAATTCAAACTCGCATTTGAAAATTCATACGAAAATGTTAAATTTTAGGTACATGTGCACTAAAAGATAAAATTCCTGGGTTTCATCTTAGTCCCCATGAACCTCATATTTGTCATTTTTCGTATGATTTATTATAGTTTGAGTTTGCATCTCAACTTTTTCGTGTGAGTACATATTTGTATGCACTATGGATGTGCCAAGTTTCAAAAAAAATTCGAACGGCCGAAATAAGTTTTTTGAATTGGTTTCTATGTTTCCACCTAGTAGCTGGTTTCCACTACATATTTCGCCATATAATATGGATGCAGAAATCACATGAACTGACAGGTAGAATTAGCACTTAAGGCTGGTGACGCTAAAACACAAACACATAACAGATGCAAAAATTGTACAAGTACTAGTAAACACTGCAATGCAATAAGGCATGAAAAGAAGATAAGCATTCAAGGCGAAACTTGGATAGCAGCACAATTAGTATCATGCCATAGCATATATAAGTCTTTGAAAGAATCAGTTTGGTAGCTCAACAGTTAATATTAATACATAGAAAAGAAAAAACATAAGTCCATTCTTAAGTCTGTCCATTCCTTAGGTCATAAAAAAAACATAACAGAAGAAAGCAAGAGATAGGCTGGTAGCACTGGCAATTCATTGTTCCATAAGTATATCCATTAAACAAAGGATAACGTCCAACTTTGGTCCCTCAACTCTTCTCTGGGTTCAAACCAGTCTCTCACATCTTCAAACTCGTTCATCATAATTCATAAGTCCCTCTGCTCATATCAGTGGTTTTGCTTGGCTTAGCTAAAGTGATCCAACATGGTGTTGGTTCGTTGGCTCAGGTCAGTATCTCTCCCCTCTTGAAACAGATATACTGCGACATAATCCAACCCATATCCCTCTGTTTTCAATTTATGACCTTACCACTAGATGCATCACACACATACAAGGCAGCTTGCAGTTTTCTGCATGGCTCATCATGCACCTTCTCACTAGAGTAAGTTTGCACCGACAGAAAAATGGTTGTGGCTCTTGTGTTTAAGTGTTTTTAGGCAGAGAAAAATTATAATGGATGAATGAAGAGGAGGGACATAACAGATGCTGTCCTGATATGCTCTTATCTTATTGGGCAAGAAAAGATTTGGGGCAGGGGGAGAGCGGTGTGAGGTGAGCTCGAGGAGCATCCGACTCTTTGTCTCCATGGCCGCTAGGTGTAAAACTCTCCTATGTGTGGTGAGCGTGAGGAGCATCCAACTCTTTATCTCCACTGCTGCTAGGTGTGAGTCAGTGAGTGTGACACTGTGATGTTGGGGTCACACCATCACATGGCATCAGCATTTGCCACCGCCGACTTTGAAGGTTGCTGGCTCTATGTCCCTGGTGATGACACCCCCTCTCCCTGGTCGTCAACCTGTTACTAGAACACAATGGCTACTACAGGCGAGGTGTTATGGCGGGGAATGCAACAGAGGTGGAGGCGCCGCTACTGCCAAGCGCTAACAATTACTGCATGGCCCGGCTTTGCCAGAAGGGCCATTTCACAGGGAATCAGACTCTGTGCAGTGAGATTGGGACATTGGGGCACCACATATGAGTTGGGTGCAGACAGAAGCAAATCAGATGTGTGGGCAGCGGGGTTGGTGAGCAATTGCAACTCTGATTTGGGGATTTTTTGCTAGAACTGGTTCCCACGAGCTTGCACCAGAAAGCGGAAGTCAGCCACCACCAGCTTGTGTTGAGCGACCACACATTCTCCGGGTATCACCTTACAGTCCACGCATGTTCGTTTATCCGTCCTTCTTGTAAGGACAAAGTCGATTTGACTACAGTACTGGCCGCTACTAAAGGTCACTAAATGGGACTGTCTCTTACGAAAGAAAGTGTTAGCCATCATCAGATCAAAAGCTATGGCGAAGTCTAAGACTTCCTCTCCCTCCTGGTTCCTACTACCATATCCGAAACCCCCATGAACCGCCTCGAAACCTGCACTTGATGTACCTACATGGCCATTAAGATCACCTCCTATAAAGAGCTTCTCGCTACTAGGGACAGCTCTAACCAAGCGATCTAAGTCTTCCCAGAAAAGCCGCTTAGCACTCTCATCATGGCCTACTTGGGGGGCATACGCACTAATTACGTTTAAGACCATATCACTAGTGACAAGTTTAAAGGCTTAACAATATTTCAATGATCAATATTGAAACCATCATTCTAATTCCTCAATTCAACTCTACTGCCATAGCTAAATGATTTTAGCACACGAGTAGATGATATCCAAGACAATCCCGATACAGTTGAGTAACCAACTAAAACTTAGTTGCATATATAAAAGTACATTGCATATCTCTGGCTCTCTGATTCAACACCTAAGATAGGCAGCATCGCTAACCATTTTCCTCTGTTAATTATGCATAAGATGTGCAACCAAGAAGGTGCATTGTAACATTAAGACGATGCATTGTTCACTAAACCACATTTTTCAGACACCAAAGTATTCATATGAACAAACGTTGATTGAACTGAAATTCGGAAACTATCAGTACTTTGTATAGGTTAATGTTACATCAGTTACAGACTAACCAATTTCCGTGATTAGGAAACGTTGATTGGAACGTGATACGTGCATTTGCGTACAGATCATCGTTAACCCATTTCCGAGCTTATAACATACTACCACCAATTTCAAGCAAGCAGCCTCTGCCAAAAAATGAGATGCGCAATGTAATAGGCAGGCGACTGAATCAGCTGGCTGGGTGCGCACTTACCGGCGGACCTTGTTCCCCTGGCCGACCTGGTACATGCCATACGCGAAGGCGCCGAAGGTGGTGAGGAAGATGGCGGTGGCGCTGGGCCCCGAGGTGGGGATCCGGCGCGCGTAGCGCACGGGCGCGAAACCGCCCGGCGGCGGCCCGTCCTGCACCACCGGCATCTCCTTGATGCTGGCCATCCCCGGCTTGTTCCGCACCAGGGACTCCGTCATCTTCGCTCCTCGATCCGGACGCCGGACCGCCCGCTTGCAGATCTACAGCTCCCCGCGGGGATCAAACGAGCTGAGGCTGTCGCTAGGGTTATAGTGGAGGGTAGGAGACGACAATTGCGTTGTGAATTGGGGGCACTTGGCTGGAGGAATCGCGAATCCCCTCGGGGACCTGGGCAGCTGGGCTGAACCTCGGTGAGAGAATGACTCGTCGATTCAGAGGTCTCCGGGGTCTAATTCGCAAGAGTGGATCTCTTTGTTTAGTGAAGGGAACAAGAGTTGAGTTGGGCCTGGTTCTTAGGCCCAATAGAAGGCTGATCGTGAATGGGCTCAACTCTTAGTGGACTCCAGAATCCAATCATCGGCGTCCTCTCCCATTTCTTTCCTTTTCTCTTCTAAAAAAAAACTTTCTTTTCTCTGTCCCTATTAAATTTTTTGTCAGCAAGTGCATTATTAGTCTAAAAAAAGTGCGTTATTAAAATTTGGCTCCAGAACATTTTAAATTCGTATAAGCGTCTTTACATTATATTATTAAAATCTGCAACAGCTCCTCGTTCATTTTCGTGCATCTCTCATTGAGATGGCACGTTGCCTGTTTGTGCTAGGTCGGGCGTCGCAGCGCGAGCTTCGTTCCCAAACAAACTGAGCATGACCTTCGCGTCGTCGTCGATGGCTCCGTCGACTAGGACACGGTGCCTGTATGATTTCACGACATGCTGGACGCTTGGGCCAGACGACTGAATACAACGACCGTGGCACCTTGCTACCGGTGTGTTGGTGACGTGCGACCTAGAGATGCGCCTGGGGCAGCCGCGACGGCTGTCGGTGAGGGCCGGACCGCGCCGGCGCCACGTGCTACACTACACTTCACCTTACCTGTCCTGAAGCCCGGAGCGTGCACTCTGACGATAGATGGAGGACACCGACCCGGTCGGCGCTCGCGGTAGGTTAACTGAAACGACGAGAAATCTGCGGTGCCACGGACAGGTCGTTCCGCACTGCCCGCTACACGTCCGCGTGCCCTCGCCCTGACGCGCGGCACAATGCCGCGATCTCGGCGGTGCTGACGCTCGCGTGCCGGGGCACCAGCTCCTCGCTGCAAGCGTGCAAGTGCAGCCAAGAACCACACGCCGGCCTTGTGCCCCCCTGGCCTACTCGCCGCTACTCGGCATCTCTTCGCGCGTGGTCGTGGAAGCAGCAATCGGCAGCTTCAACAGAAGCGAGGTGGAGAGCCACTGCCACAGGAAAGATGGCGCACGAAACTGTAAGCGAGCGAAGCGATGGGCGGTGCAGGTGTCAGCCGTCAGATTCTTTGAGCAGATGGGCATGTGAGCACCGACCGAGATCGAACAAGCAGGAGGAACATTGGCATCGAATCTCTGAAAGGTAAACTGTAAATAAATCTTTTGAAATCCAAGTCCTCTTACAGGGTATTTGGATGCAGGGATTAAAGTTTAAGAGGTATCACATTAGATGTCACATAAGGTGTCGTATGAGTATTCGCATACTAACAAAAAAAAAATACAGATTTCATCGGTCCTCCGCGAGACAAATTAATTAAGCATAAATAATCTGTCATTAGCTATGTTTACTGTAGCACCATATTTTCAAATCATAGGCTAATTAGGTTTAAAAATTCGTCTCGTAAATTAGCCTCAAGATGTGTATTTAATTTTATAATTAGTCTCTATTTAATATTTTATACATGTGCTAAACATCCGATGTGATAGAAGTTAAACTTTAGCCGCGGTAACCAAGCACCTCCTGGATCCCTGCACGATGGCACGCAAGAAACAGCAATGAGAGCTCGGATCTTGAGCCGAGAGCGACACCGACAGCATGTGGCACACACGCATGACTTTTGCCGGTGCTCACGGCATGGCTTCATGAGGAGCACCCTGCTGCACCTGCTTTTGGTGGGCTAGCCATCGATTAGATACTTGCACTGCATTCTGACTCGATGCTTGCACTGCATTCTGAGTTTGATGACTGTCCTTGGTGGTTACTGGCTACGGAGTAGGAATTAGTAAAAAATAAATAAAAAGACAAAACTCTCACTCAAGCATGGAGTAAAGAATCGGACAAAATATAGTAACACAAGACAGTGTCCCGATTTCTGAAGACAGAGCAGCTGGAATCCTGTGTCTTTACCCAATCTTGACAACCCAGTACTAGCGCGATGTCACTTCAATTGGGTGGAAACAGTCAAACAGAGAGAATTGTCTCACCGACTTCAGTTAAGAGAAACTGTTTCTCAACTCCGTAACTTGTCTGTCAGTACACGGATCAACAAACACTCCTACTTTAGGTCTTTAACATGCTGAGAAACTGTTTCTGATCAACAAACACTCCTACTTTAGCATGCTGAGAAACTGTTTGGATCAGGACTAGTTATTAGTACAGTAGTTGTTATTAAAATTAGTTGATAGATGACTAAAAATTGGATGATTAAAGTTTAGTTATGTGATGTTTGGATACATATACACTAATCGAGTATTAGTCCATTTTGTCTTCTCTTTATCAAAACTTTAGTCTTGTTATCAAACAGGCCCCGAGCCTTATCGGATAACCATGTTAAGAAAAAAAAGTCATCCCCTGTTGTCATCTAGCACCTCAGTGGCTCAGTCAGATGTTCCTGCAAGTGGCGACCACGGATAAAGCAGCGGTTGCGCACGTTCCTGCGCCAAGAATTTCCACAAAAGAAGGCACTCGGCCACAATAAAAGAAGAAAATAATAAAAAAAAGCAGCGGCGCATAGACAAGTCCAGCCCCGGAACCGAGTCAGTCAAGCAAGAAACAATGGGGATCTCTCGATCTGATCTCCCATGAGAGGAAATTGCTGCAAGTTGCAACGAGCAAGAAATCTGCAGTCCTACTGGCCAACGGCAACGGCCATCATCACTTGAGGTGTCGCCACTTTGCACTTGGTCATGGGTGGAAAAAAAATCAGCGGCGGCATCTGGCAAGCATGCTGCATGCATATGCTTCGCGCCCCCAGGATATCATATGCTACTGGCCCGCCGAAGCGAAATGCGGCGGGGATGTAGTAGGATGGAGGCCGGAGGCCCGGAGCCTGCTGGTCGCGAACAGCGGAACAGGTGGTCCGGGCATCCTATCCGGGACAGTATCCCCTCATCCGCATCCGCCGCACGCTGCCCGGCGGCCCACCGAATCTTTCGCGTTATCCGTCTAGCGCCGGCCTAGATCAGTAATCAGGTCCATCAAGTTGATTCGAGGGCACTGATGGTAGCCCTGTACCTGCGTACTGATCCTCAACCCGTTCGTTTGGCCGTGACTTATCGTAAACGATCGTAAAATTTACACCAAAATAGTATTTTTCTCTCACATAAATAGTCAGCAGTACTTCTTCACAAACCAACCAACCGAACAGGCTGCCTATCATGAGCGCGATGCGCACTGCTCGGCTGCACAGCATCAGGCTCCAAATAACCTGTGCAGCACCATTCTCCATCCCAGAGCTGCGGAAACGCAAGGGTTTGCACGGTAGACACGCAGGCAGCACGGCGGGGTTTGCTTGGAAGGACGGTTTTCTTACCTCAACGCGGCACCGACGCCTAGCTAGGTCCGAATTGACACCCACCCTATCCTCCAGAAAAAAAACGAATTTCCAGAATGAATCCTCATCCCTGCGCTCGCCCAGACGAAATCTACACGCGACCTACCGGGGATATGTGTTCATCACTACATCTGTATCAAATAAGTGGTACCAGTACCACCTGACACATAACCGAATCGACGTTTCTCCTCTCCCTGTGACTAAAATCAATTTCTAAACAAAGCCACGCTTCAGAAGTCACGAAGCAACATTATCTCTTATAATAAAGCTATTAGTACCAGTTTATATTTTATCACGGTAGCAAGAAATGCTTATCACCAAAAACCAACCCACCAAATGAACAGGCTGATTATGAATTGAATTGTGGGGATATGATCAAACTGAGCACCAGCCAAGGGGTGATGATCCAGCTGGCAACAATCGCCAAGCGTTAGCAATTGTCTACCGGACAATGAAAGTGGAGGTCGTTGACTGACGGACACCCAAAATTAAGTCATTTGCTGGAAAACACTATCATTAATGATAATTATGCTGTTGGACACCGCGCCTCATATTTTATTCATTTCCACCTACTAAGGAGAGAGAAAGATGGGGAAATGTCATTCTTACCCTGGTCTCTTTCTTCTTCCTCTCTAGTTTTTTTTTTCATGTGCGGCGTCGCGAGCAAGTTTGGCCCGAGGGAGCCTCCTGCTGCGCCGCCTCATCCAGTCCCGGTGCGCACTCAACGCCGCCGCCGACGTCGACCGCGTCCACACACCCAAGCGCCAAACGCGCCGCAGTCGCCGCGCTAGTCTCGCGGGTCCACGCCGCCGCCGAAGCCACCACCGGGTCATCGCCGCCGCAGCCGCAGCTCTTCGCCACGCTGCGCGAGCTCAAGGACGTGGCGGCCTGTGAGAGACCCACCTTCTGCGCTCCTATGCCCCCGCGGTGGTGGGGGAGGCCGCGGCGCCGCCATGGTGATGGAGGCCACGCTCCCACGTCGACGCGCGCCCCGCGCGCGCCCGAGGTTGTGGGGGAGTCCGCGTCCCGCCGTCCTCTGGATCCCGAGCCCACCCACATCCCGAGCGTGGGGTGAGCGTGGTCTGGTCGGGGGTGAGTGCGGCCTCGATGGGGGCGGGCGTGACCTTGCCGGGGGCGCGGCCATGGCGGACGACGGCCATGACTGGGGGCGGGCGCGGCCTCGTCGGGGGCTCGCGGCCTTGCTGGGACGGGCGTGCGGCCTCGCGGGGGATGAGTGGCGCGGCCTCGGCGGCGTCTCGCGGCCTTGCTAGGACGGGTGCGTGGCCTTGCTGGGATGGAGTCGCGACCTCGCCGAGGCGAGTGGCGCCTGCTGGGAAGGTCATTGCCACGCGCTTCCATGGGAGGTTTGCCGCCGCCACTGTTGTGCTTTCTAGCTAGGAGCCGAGCCGCCGAGCCCGCTCTGGACGTAGCCCTCTCGGCCACCCCTGCTGGCCTGCTTGATCGGAGAAGGACAACGCCTAGATCTCACCGATCGGCCAGTGAACGACCAAATCGACCAACAACCAGAGGTTCAAGAAGACAAGAGCAGTTTAGATATTTCCCTCACCTTCTCTCTCCTCTAAATTGAAAAATAAATAAAATAATTGGTGAGGTGTCTTCCGGCAAAGAATCACGAATTTGTAATGTCTGCCAACAAATTTTGACGTTAACGGTGTTCACTGGCCAATTACATATGTTCTCCATTGTCCCACAACCAATTTTCCCTATAAAGAATAGGATGAATGATTGCTTGGGGCGACTTATCCATCAAGCAGCAACTCGTTATCCATCAAGCAGGGGACAGTCGGAGTGTTCGGCTGGTCTTATCAGCCAGCTTATTCGCTGACTTATAAGTCATAGTACATTATTTTTCTCTCTAAAAAAATCAGCTATACAAATCAGCACCAGCTACTTTATAGCCAGTCGAACACTCCCTGTGCGTCTGCACTTCTACAATAGTACTAGTACAAAATAAACAAAACTTCTCAGGTTATTTGGAACCCAATCGATTGGCCCGTCGCATTAATCAATGCAAAATGTTTTGCCTCCCTGGCCCAATAATTAGGGTCTTAGACGGTCTCCGATAGGTGATCCATATAGATATCTAAATATAAAATGGATAGCAGGAGATTTAAAATTAGCTTTCAACAGAGTACATATACGGAAGATCCATTTTAGATCGTCTGAGAGGCACAAACCAAATATGAGTATCCTATCTCCTGAAAATCCATTGTAGAAAAGATTCTCTTTGTGTCCTGTTTTTGAAGAGGATCTCGAATAGGTATTGAATCCTTTGATTATAGCGCTAACCAAACGTTAAATGGATCTTATATTTTAGACGGTTGTCCGGAGATAGTCTTATCCGTTGCTAATCCTAATCGCACCCGCACGCATCCGTGGCGAGCGCGATCGGGCGCTCCGCGTCGGCGTCCTGCTGGTGTTGGGTGGGTCGCGGGCTGCCCTCAGCAAGCTACGCGGTGAGGTCGGCGATCCTGTCAGCTGGGCCCGCCGGGGTATAGAATGCCACCATGCGCTGCGCTGGGATGCCGCCTGCCGGCGACACGTAAGGGAAGACGTGGGCGTGCCAGGTTGATTGACCGCGCGAAGCTGAGCTTGGTCCCACGTGGCGCTCCGACCTTGCCGTGCTGCCTTTCTCGTAGTACAGTAAATCCACAAAATTATCCAGACGAAGCCAAATCGGGAGTAGTCAACGGACGTGTGTGTGTAGTTCTGTACGCAGTACGCATGGTCATATGGACCGGTGCTCTGGTGCATTTTGAAGTTTTTGGCACTTTGATAGGTGATTAGGTAATCGTGTTTAGGTGATCGTTAAACGGTTCATGCAACATATCGGCCAGATATGTGTCGTGATAACGTGAAACTCATCTAGAAGCAATTATTACTTCCACGATGCAAACACCAACTAGAAAGCACGGGTTAAAGAAAGTAGCCTCAATGAAAGGTTGTCCCTTTTAACTCAGACGTGTTTACTTTTGTTTTCGTAATTCTACTTCTCTTCATTTTGACTGTTCATTTATGACTTGGAGTATTCGTCACTTCTGACGATACTCCATACCAAATCGTGGTTAGTATTGAATGTTTTTTTATGATAGCTACGAAGCGCCACATATGAAACTCTAGAAGGAAATATTAATTGTCTATATCTAAACATGTCATTTGCTCAGAATGATTCCTCGTTATGTTAAAAATTCCTAGCTTTTTTCCTCGATCAAGCAAAATTCATGTTATTATTCTATCATAAGTATAAACACATACCCACACACCAATTGTACAATATGTACATAACCGTTGTCAACGAGTCTACCAAACTCAAAATAAAACCACCTCACCTGCTTTAACATTTCAGCAAATATAAACTATAGACAGCAAGCAAAAGCATTCGTAAGCAACCCATACGGGGCCACAGGTGACTCGGTTATTCCGGCCGGCAGAACCGCGCCAAATACCAACTTCTCGGAGGCCCCCTTATAGTCCTAATAAAGCGACAGGAGGAAATTAAATCTTGCGAAAATGGCCGGAAAACCCCACCCCACCTCGCTGTATAGAATACGACGCCGCCCGAGCAAAACGAGCGGCCGCCCGCCTCCACAACTTCCTAAAAAATGCTCTTTTATTTTTAGTTTATTTTTTTTTTTTTACCAAAACCGCACAAATATGCCTCTAAAAAAAAAAAAAAAAATCTGGCTTCACTAGTATCTCAAACGAGGCCTAAATCTTGCGAAAATGGCCGGAAAACCCCACCCCACCTCGCTCCATAGAATACGACGCCGCCCGAGCAAAACGAGCGGCCGCAGCGCACAACGCCCGAATTTTTTTTGTCTTTTTAAAAAAAATTTCACAAATATACCCCTGGAGAAAAGATTTCAAAATCTGGACTCTTATCTCGGCGCCCGGCGCCATCGTTGCTGGCGCTGAGCTTACACGTTTCGGCGTCAGCGTTTATGGCGCCGAGCTCTTAGGCTCGAAGTAGACGTGGCGGTGACATGGCAAACATCTCGGCCAAGATCTATGGCGCCGAGCTCAGCGCCAGGGTGACTGGGCCGAGATGCCTGTCGTGTCACCGCCACGTCTACTTCGAGCCCAAGAGCTCGACACCAGAAACACTGACGCTGAGACGTATAAGCTCGACGTAAAGAACGATGGTGATAGAGATAAATGATTTTGAAATCTTCAGATGCCTATTTATAAAAAAGTTCCAAAAAAAAAAGGCTTAAAAATAAAAAAATTCGGGCACAACGCAGCCCGCCCGCCGCCTCAAAACCTCAGACACAAGCTGCATCTTTCCCTCCCCATCCCCTTCCAATCAGTCTCGCCGCCATTTCCCCTTTGCTGGTGCTGCTGCTGCTTCCCCAAACCCAAGCCTTCGATTCCACCGCCCGCCCGGGCTCTCGAGCTAGCCTTCCGCGCCGTCTTGGTTGCCTTGCGCACAGCTAGCCATGGATGAGGTCCCTGCCACCGCCGCCGTCCTCGACTTCCGACCCGGCTCTTCTCCACCACGCGTCTCCGCTGTCCCACGCCGTGCCGCGGAGTGCTCCCCCGACACCGGTAAGGCCTCCTCGTACGCCGCAACGGTGTCCCGCTTGACGCCGTTCTGCCAATCTGCCTGGGCGTGGTTGGTGAATGGTGAGCGGAACACCGACCCCAAGCGGTCAAACCGCTCGTGGTCGGTAAATGGAACACCCACCCCGGCACCCCCTGCCGTGGCGGCTGATGGTTGCTCGGTTGTTTGTCTGCTCGCTGACTGTCGCTGCTAATTTTTGTTTCCCTTTCCCGGTTTTTTGATTCGATTTGGCTTGCTCTGCTCTGGATGCAGGCGGTGCAGAGGAGGCGACGGGAGGTCCGGGTTTCAGGAACACAGCCGCCGTTTCGGCGGAGTTGACGGGGTCAAATTCGGCCGGTTCCGATATCCAGACTGTTGATTGCGGTACATCGGGAGGCCTTGCCGGCGGTGACGCTGGAGGCGTGGAGGTTTTGTGCTTGGAGAATGCTGCGGAGCTCGAATCCGTGGAACCATGTGTTTTGGACGTTGAATTAGGAGCTCCAGTGGAGGAGCGCCATGGCAGGACGTTGGATAGTACGGGATTGGGCTCTGATGAAGCTGGTGAGACCAATGGGATTTCACTGGTTGAGGTGTCCCAATCAGGTGCCACTTCAAGCTTAGATACCACTGGGTCGATTGGTGGCTACTCCCTCGTGGAGGGGTCTCTGCCAGAGGCGAGTGGTGCCCAAGGATGTGAACCTGAGGTCCATGAAGTACCAACAGGGACCCCTACTACTGTGGGGTTCCCGAATGAGGATGGAGGCTCTGGATTTGGAATTGAGCTGAATGATGACCTGGATGGTAGAAACGGCCTTGCCCGAGGGGAATTGGAACTGTCTACTGATGGCGATGATGCCACGGACATCACAGAGATAGCTGGAATCTTGTGTGGCGAAAGAGTGGAGGGGATGGAGACGAATTCAGGACAACATGAGGCCTCGAATGGTTCCACCGTGCCTTCTGAGGAAGGAGTGGACAGGATGGAGACGAGTTTGGATGACTCTGAGGCTTCCGATGGCTCAACCACACAGGATTCTGATACCGACGTCGAGACAGAGTCAAGTGTTTCTAGTATAGAGGAACAAGAAGCAGGATACGGAGCCCACATCCCTCAACCGGTATGTATTTCGTGCCAACTCCTGTAGGAACTAGGTACTGCTTATCAGTGTTGCTATATTTCATATCAACTTGTGATGCTTTCCCTTTGTAATTCTGTTAGTAGTTCATCAAAAGTGTTCATTGTAACTTTCCCAAGTTCCTGACCTGCAATCTGTAAGAACTAGCTGTAGAGTTAATCTACGGTGGGTAAAATTCTTCTCTCAAGATATAACTTATTGGCGTATATTCTTTTCCTTAATGCATTTTAATTTTTCTATGAGTTAGCATCCTAGAATATTTTCTGTGACGAGAAGCAATTTCAGACTTGCTGGGCGTTTAGGGTGCATCCTCTTCCCTATCCAGTTCACTTAAGCTGTAATATTCATTTTTTGGGAGGATCTGTTTTCATCCAGTATTCTGCTCATCTATAGATGTTCTGGATCACTTGTAGTCAATAACTGACTTATCCTTTTTTTATATGGCTGTATATATCCTAGCAAGGGACCACTTTTATACTCACTTTCTTAGTTTCTTGAGAGCTGGGACCACACTTATAGTGAAGGAAACTATGTTCAACTAACAGAAGTGGCATCCGAGTAACTTGGATGCACCAATGCACAATCATCTTTATATGTACAAATTTTGGTGGCATGTGCTTTTTTCAAATCAGGCTACCTTTCTGAAAAACTTTAGGTGCTTCTTAAACATGGCTTGTGCTGTTATATTAATATACTCGTTGGATATGGTGTGAATTTCTGAGGGTTACTGGATGATGTGTATGTTGTCTGTTTTTCCCCTTGCAGGATCAAGCAATCTGCAAGGTGGCCAAAGAAAACAACACGGCAGGAGTGAAGAGCTCTGATAGGTATTACTTTGCTTTATTTCGTTAAGTACTCTAACAACATAAGCTGTCCACTTACAACTTTGATCTGTTTGGGGACATTTCTAGTGACATATTCAATCAAGGCCTATGTGTACTGTACTTTCTGTTAAGATTTTTATGGGCTCGTCATTTTGACACTTTTCCTGGTAGATTTTTAAGATCTAAATATATCATTTTAATGTTGAATTCATCACAGGATGACTTCAGTTTCCGAATCAACACTTGTGCTGGCTTCAGGTGCATCAATGTTACCACATCCTTCGAAGGTACTGTACCAAAGGCTAAATTAATTGGGATGATTTTTGGATCCAATTTACATATGCTTTGTTATTTATTCCAAACAACAAAAGATACGAGGTTGCCATTCTGATATTGCAGTCACTGTTTCTAAACATTAGCTGGAAACTATATATGGCTTTCTCTCGCTCCTTGCTCATTTATTGCTACTTGAATATTTGTCTCGAATATTTTTTACATCCGTACCTGTTCTTTTTTTCCAGGTACTGACAGGTGGTGAAGATGCATATTTTATAGCTTGTGATGGCTGGTTTGGTGTAGCAGATGGAGTTGGTCAGTGGTCCTTTGAAGGTAAACAATATCTTCTCCACTGTAGCTCTGTGTTCTAATCTTGTGGATGCTGTGAGCTGCAGCTAGCAGTCCATCCATAGCATGTTAATTTACACTCCATACCTTGTTTCTTAAGTTTTACTGTACTTGCTTTTGAGAAATGCTTCTTTGCTGACATTGACTACAATTCTCAGATGCCTTACAATCATGCAAATATATTCCATGTCCGAGTATGATACATTGATATAGCCTATTTGCATGTTACAACTATAAGACCTTTTGGAATCGCTCCTAATAGTACGCAGAGTATTTGCTTCAAAATTAGAATTTAAGATTTGGGGAACTCAAACATCACACAATAAGTCCAGGACAATGCGCTGCAATAGACTTGCTTGTCTGCAAACACTGGAGCATGGATGAAATGTTCAAAAATCAAGCGTGGGAAGTTCATTTTTGTGTGGGATGGCATGATCAAAGCTGTTTGTTTTTTCAGACAATGAAAAGTTCCGTCCTCTGCCACCGCACACAGCCAAACTCATACAAAATTTTCAGCTCAACTACTGATCACAAAAAGGAAAAAGAGGGCACAAACAAAAGGCAATAATCATGAGCAAAGTCTATTATTAGATGATTAGATCTCCATCCATTCTTGGTGAAAATATCAAGAGCAATGACCCCAAAGCTCTGCTCGCATGATCAAAGCTGATAAGGACGAGGTACTGACTATAAGCCTAAACAACAATAGTTACATCCTTTCTGTTCCTATTCCTACCAGGAACACCAGAAATAAGTGACATAGCTACTGTAGTATTCTATGATGCCAAATTGACAAATCTATAGCAGTTGGCTGTTCAATTTGTTATTTTGTTGATAGTTAACCACGAAGTAGCCATCCTATCTGCCAGTAGCTAAAGCCGAATGTGGATTAGGTCAGTGACTCAATAGGTTTTGCTAGAGAACAATGTCTTACCAGTTGCCACACAAATTGGACAAAATCATGAGAGGTAAAATTTTTTTTTGCGAAGAAGAGAGAGACTTTTATTATTACTCAGCAACAAAGTTACAATCCTGAGCAATAATATGCTCCACACAGACGGAGAACTAAAGCGCCAAACAGCTGAATGCCTTGTTCTCTTCGCTAGCTGTGTGAGCTCGTGAGCGCTCTATTACACTCTCTTCGTGTGGATAACTTTCCACTCCGGTAGTCGCCTACCTTCCTGCACCGCCTCATCTACAATGAACTTTAGCACTGACCGCAGTCCTTGCCGCGTAGCTAGTAGCTCAACCACGGAGCTGCAATCTGATGCGAGGATCACTTTTTGCCGACACCACTCAGCCGCTAGGGCTAAGCCCTCTCTGCATGCTAAGGCTTCAACTTCCTCAGCATTGCCCTCGTGAGAGGTAAACATGGCAATAGTACCAACATAATTGTGATAAACATGCCATGACCCGGTGTATCAAATGCCATTGTACCTGTTCTCCAAGGAAAAAAAAGGAGATGAAATTCTGTAGTCACATTGGAAACTAAAAGAATTTGAGATGCCTAGCCTTGAATGCAATTTGACGTGGCATTAATTAAAAAAACTGCACGCAAGCACTAACATACTTCTGTGAATATTTTGTAAAGACACCTACAGCTGCTCTATCTCAGATGCATACTCGACACATTCCAACGTGCCACTTGGTCGGTAGGGTCCATGTGTGCTGTTGGAGCCTCTGAGGAAATCCATGTTCATTTCTGAGCAAATTTGGTTTTTCATTTCAGAATGTGAACATTTCTAATGTTGATGGAATTGTTATCTCAGGGATCAATGCCGGGCTTTATGCAAGAGAACTGATGGACGGTTGCAAAAAGATTGTAACAGAGACCCAAGGAGCTCCAGGGATGAGAACTGAGGATGTTCTTGCCAAGGCTGCAGATGAAGCACGGTGCCCTGGTTCTTCCACTGTTTTAGTTGCTCACTTTGATGGCCAGGTATATTCTTGGTTATGACTTGGCCTCCTTTTTTTTCACATGTACTGATGGTTGATTCTATATATATTATCCTCCCAGACTTGGATACATTTATGCTTATGAGCTCGTTGCTATTGCAGGTCCTTCATGCATCAAATATTGGAGATTCTGGATTCCTTGTGATAAGGAATGGAGAGGTCCACAAAAAATCAAAACCGATGACTTATGGTTTCAATTTCCCATTGCAAATTGAAAAGGGTGATGACCCTTTAAAAATCGTACAGGTGCCATACCACAATCTGCTGCTATTGATTTCCTCTTGCAAGCTTTATCAGAGTTTTTTTTTTTTTTTTTTTTACTTACTCTATTCTTCTTAACTTGCAGAAATATGCCATCGATCTACAAGAAGGTGATGTCATTGTAACAGCATCAGATGGTCTTTTTGACAACGTCTATGAGGAAGAAGTAGCAGGCATTGTCTCCAAATCATTAGAAGCTGATATCAAGCCCACGGTCAGTATGCAATGCCAAATGAACTTCTCATCGTGTTACAGAAATGAACCTAATAAACTACTCCCACAGTCCACAAATACCGATGAGAAAAGATTTATCTCTTGACCATGCCCACTTTACGTTAAAATTGCAGGAAATTGCTGATTTACTGGTTGCTAGAGCTAAGGAAGTGGGGCGGTGTGGGTTTGGAAGAAGCCCGTTTTCAGACTCTGCTCTGGCGGCTGGGTACCTGGGTTACTCCGGGGGCAAGCTGGATGATGTAACTGTTGTTGTATCTATTGTTCGGAAATCTGAGGTTTAAACTATAAACAAACTATCAAAGTTGAGCGTAGCTCCAAGTTTTTGCTACAGCTGCACTCGCTGGCAAATGCCCATGAACATATTGTGCGTCATGACTCATGAGCACACAGCACAATCCTGGGCTACGCTCAGCCAAACGTGTGTACACTAATACACTATAAGGTTGCATGAGTATCTTTTTGAGCACGGCCGCAGTAAAGTTGCGAGCCCTTCAATGAACTTCGTGATGTACTCAGCGGCAGCGGTAACCTATTCGTGACTTGTAGCATTATTGATTTATTGTGCGAGGCAATGAAATCCATGAACAAATGCATGCAGATTCAGAATCAGAAGCAGTGAAAACGAAACTGAAATGCTCACAAGATACATCTCGGTACAGGGTTGTTACATGCTCCTTTTATCTGTGGTCAGACTGGGGTAAGGTAAGGTGGAGCGCATGAACTTGGAACATGACAGGTCAGCCCAGCTCACAAGACTCGGTACACGAACAGAGTCGCGGCAGCAGTTGCTGCAGCGAGGAAGGTCCGCGGTGTTGCCGAGAGGCCGGCAGCGCCAGAACGCGCTGGGGAGGGTGCTGGAGTGCTGGTCTGGCTCCCGGTTGCTGCCGCTGCCGGTGATCCCGAAGGAGTTGACGACGACGACGACGGCGGCCCGAAGAATGGGGCCCCGGACGACGGAGCAGTAACTGAAACAACGTGAAAGCTTGTCACTCGTATGAACTCTGAAAAGCAACGACAGAGCTCTTGGAAATTTTCTACTCCTGTTTAGTTGCCCATGAAATAATTCTCCTCTTAAGATGCAGAAGAGACACCCAATTTACTTCAGTAAAGACTAGTCGCCTAGCACTGGGATTTTGGATAGATTTTATATACTCGGAAGCAGAGGCCACAAGCCCACAAGAAGCAAACAAACGTACCAGGAGACGCGCTGGGCACACCAGGAACAGAAACTGCATTGGCAACAAGGACGAGATCGTCAAATGATTGCTCCACGATCACAAATGCAATAGACGGAATCGAGCGTACCGTGGCACTTGCTGAAGGGCGGCGTCTTGACCTTGCAGGCGGCGGGCAGCTGCAGGGCCTTGGTCATGTTGAGCGAGATGCCCAAGTTCTGGCCGCTCTGGAAGACCTGGCAGAGGCAGGCCACCTCCTTGTGCACCACGTCCTTGAGCCCCGAGCAGCAGGTCGGGTCGGGCGTCGCCACCGTGCTCCCCTCCTCCACGTAGCTCAGGCACCCCGCCAGGCCCACCAGCGCGTCCGTGCAGTCCGCGGACGGCGCCGGCGCGGCGGCCGTGCCGCCGCCGTCGACGCGCACGGTGGCGGCAAGTAGTAGCGCTGCGAGCGCGAGGACCAGCAAGCACGACGACCGTTTTGCCATGGCCGTCGTCGCCATTCCTGCTGCTTTCGCGTTGGCCGGGTTCAGTGGCGGCTAGCGGCGCGACTAGCTAGACCACTGGTGCCTAGTACGTGCTGCTACTTGTAGATGCACTGGCAGTAGCGGGGGTTTGGCTGGCCCTGTTCGCGGAATGTGGCGCGAGAATGATGAAGGGTTCGATCGACGGGAGCTAGCGCGCGTTTATGTGGAGATGGACTGTGACGGCCACCGCCTCTCGGCAGTCAGCGCGTGACAATAGTGGTGGGCGCTCGGTTGGTGTCTCGCTGACAGATAAAAGTAGATGGCACACCCTTGGCGCTCGCTAGTCGCTTGCACACGGCGTTCTGGTCGCAGGATCTAACTAGTGGCTGTGATCGATAGCAGCAGGCACTGCCACATTACAGATAGATGGAGATGGAGCTTATGGCTATTACACAAAGTGAAGGGGCGGCTGCGGGTAGCGGCGGTGCGCCTGGAATGATGAGGTGCGTTGCGGGCCGGGGCTGTGGCTTTGGGCTAGCTAACGGAGAGGATTGAGAATTTGTTTCCGCTTTCAAAAAGGAACATGATTCGGCGATTATGGCAACAACAGCTCTATCTCTCTTCCCTAGCTACAGGCCTACACCCACCCGTTCTCTTTTGATTCTCCGATTCTGCCAGTGTGTGGCTGCAAGGGGCGTCGTAATCGGCTAATGCCATGCAGCAGTAGACTAGCTAGTACTGTCCAGGACTTTCGTCAGGAGAACATATGCTGACCAAGGTTTTAAATAGCCGACTAAGTCATTTAGCTTTCTATGTCCTAAAACAGGCTATAGCCAGCTATATCGGGCTATAGCGGTAGCTAGGAGCTGACTTCTATATGGAAAAACTTAGTTAAATCTTTCTCAAACAGCTATAGCCGGAGATAACAGAGGCTATAACCGGAGATTTAAAACCTTATGCTGACTGAAACAAGCGCGATCCATCATCTTCTTTTGGAGAAAAGATAGGAGAAACCGGGCGATAACAAAGGTGGGTGGCATGAAACGGGAGGAGAAAAGAGAGAGCGCACGACGGCACGGGCAATGGCATTGGCATCCACCACGACACCAACCATCATGGCCCGTGGTGGCTCGGTGGCTGGGACCAAAAGCACGGCCACGCCAAACCCAAAACAAAAGGTCCACACAAGGTGGCGCACGCCGGCCATGAAAAAAACTCCCTTCTCGCTTTTTCGAGTGAGCGCGGGTCTGAACCCAACGACCGACCAGATGACTGCTGACGCCGCCGCGTCGTGTTGCTCACGTCACCGTCCACGATCAAGCAAAAACAGCGCGTCACGAAGTCAACTACACACTCCGGAGACAAAAGACAGGTGTTCACAATTTAGCGTGTTCCGTAGTGTTCAGATGAATAATCTACTAGCAGCAAAGCAGTGCAATTGTACAACCACTGCAGCAACAACTAATGACGAATCGAGACGAGAAAATAACCCCAGCTAATTTCGGACGCTGATATCGCACCCAAATGGATCATAGAGCGATGGCGGCTACGGCGGATAACAGCACGACTCCTCCCGTGGAAGCAGCGAGACCGGCGCAACCGGAAGCATGCGTGTTTGTGGGCGGCGCAGAGCCCTGCCCGGATGGCAGCGTGGTTGCCGGCGCCGGAGCTGGGCCAGTCGTTAGCGGGAGCACCGGAGCTGGACTAGAAGGTAACGGCAGCACCGGAGCTGGAGCCGCAACTGCAACTGCAAGACACGGTGGTGCAGCGCGTTAGTCTAGATCGTTGCTGATTGCCGTGCGAGTTGTTTGAGATGCAAACAGTTTTTTTATTATAAAAAATGAGTTTTAAGATGCAAAAAAAAAACACGGCGTACCTGGCGGGTCAGGAGATGGCGCCACGGGAGGTCCTGCTATTGGAGCTGCAGATGGCGTCACGGGAGGTCCTGCTATTGGAGCTGCAGATCCAGCAGTATTAAGCATAGTTATTAGGATCGGACCGGACATCAAACCGGTGAGACCGTCGGTTCACTGGTTCACTGGTCCAACCGTTAAGAACCGGTTGGACCGCCGGTTCGATAGTTTTGAACCGGATGAATTAGACCACCCATAAATACTTCGAACCGGTACAATATAGTGACATACAACATATAATTGGCAACATATAGTTGGTCACATATACCAATAAGATGATAAAACACAATTATATAACCAACTTTCAACTAATCTAGCCACAAGTCCACAAAATTTTTGGTATTATAGAGTTGTTTTATAGGATATGCCGAAATATGCGCATAAAAAGATAGTATATAGATCACTTATTAATTGGTACAAAAAAGATCTGAATAGTAATTTAATATTCACTATTGTAAAACAATCTCAAATGCTAAAATAAAGTTTACCATTGTAAAGAGCTCGTTAAGATAGTCAAAATCGATATATCATTTGTTTAATTTAGAGATTATATAAAAAAGTTATAAAATTTTGAAATTAAAAAGCCAACACACATTCGCTAACGTTAGCAATACAAAAGTCAACAGCACATGCAAATGCAGACAAGGTACACGCACACATCAAAGCTGCAAAGGCTCCAAGCGCACACAGCGGCAGCAGCAGTCATGCGGGCCCAGTGGCAGCTGCACATGCGGGCCACAGGAGGCAACGCCGAGGGAGCACAAACGCCACCAATCGATAGCCGGACGGTTTGACATGGACCGGACGGTTCGCTGGTTCCGTAAAAAACCGTCCGATTCAACTTGATTTTTACTGGCCTGATTGCATGGATGGTCTTTTAAGAGAACCAGACCGTCATAACTATGGTATTAAGCAGGGTTAGAAAATGCAAAGACGAAAGTGAATGAACTAGATGGGCCATCTTGGGTCAAATCTGTTGCAACATACGAGCCCAATCGACAGAATCTATCGTACGTGGTGCACCGCGCCGCGCACGGAAAAAAAAAGGTGTAGCAGTATCGTAATCGTGACGGTGTGACGCACGTACCTGGTGTCGGCGTCGGCGGATGAAGGGCTGGAACTGCGGGCGACGGTGCAGGTGTCCTCGGAGACGCGGCAGGCGCGTGGGCCGCCGTCACGGGGAAAGCGCCGGATTCATCGGCCCGGGTGCCGGGGCGACGACGGGAGCAAGCGGAGCCGGAGCCGGAGCGGGCGCCGAGCCAGAAGGCGGCTGCGCGGGCGAGATCGACGGGCCAGCAGCGGGCTGAGCGGCCGCGGCGTGGCGCTGGCGCGACAGCTCGCGGAACACCCTTTCGGGGAAATCCACCGTGAACGTGAAACCATCTGCAGCAACAACGGGGCAGAATCACACAACACATGCATTAGGTAGGTTAACGAAGTTCAAGTCTTCAGATTCATGTGCGATCTTGAAAAATTGAAGTCCTCATCAGGGATAAAAATCTGAAACAAACATGCATGATCACTGGAATCTCCTAAGTCCTAAGTAATGCGACAACATACGCATGCACCTGGTCCATGATGAACAAAACAAATGATGACTTGGTGCGCGCGTGTGTGTTTTCTTTTATTTACAACAGATCCAAGTTGAACCTGTGAGCCCTAAATTGAGAAAGTCTAGTTTTGGAATGCTTTCTCTTTTTTTTTTTTTTTTGATCTGTAAATTGAGTTGTTAATGAATCCGAGGCGCGTGCTACTTACTTGATTCTACTATGGCGGAGGCGGCACAGAGGAGCAATGCCAGAACGGCGACGACCTTTTGCTGCTGCCTAGCCATGGCGGCGACCGCGGGTCTAGGTTAGATTAGATGGCAAAATCTCGTCGCTCCTGCGTGTTAATCTTTGGTCTTCTTGTGGCGACGTTGAGATCGATCCTGGAGGCACGTACGTGTCTAGTCCAGATATATAGGGGGGCCGGAGCTACGGATTTGTATGCTCGTCGCAATTTCCGTTGAGAGGAGAGAATAACCTTGTTTTGTTACCATATATATGAAGCCCCTTTTTTTAGCGAAATCAGCACATGACCGTGCTATTTTCATTGCGAAGAGACGGCCCATGTGCCCTACGATCCACTTGCTACTCGCGGATGGCCCAATGGAGCCTTTTGCCCAAGCCCCGCTAATAGGCACATCGTCAAGTACTGAACTGAGTGAACCATGTTACCTTAATGATTGCTTAAGAGTTAACTTTCTATCATAGACTTTGTGTTTTGTATAAACAGTGTATTTACACAGGAGATTTCTGTTCTTGCTGCTACTGTTTTTTTAGATAGTTGGTTCTTTGCATGTTCTGCTGAAGTCCTGCTTTGTTCCTTTTCATTTCATATTATATTCCTTGCTATAAGAGTCAAGTGGACAGATAAGAAGCCAACAGTCCAAGATATGGCAGGCTTAGGTCAACCTTTTCTTCTTCGTTTTCAGCTGCATATGTTAGGAGGCTTGTATCATCTATAGCATGTCATTTCAGGTTCCCATAAGAACATAGTTTGCTATTTCACCTCATGAGAACAGTTTTGTGTGATGAGAAAAATATAAGAGATTTCTAGTGTCATTGATAAGTTCTGTGTGAACAGGTCAGACCCAACAGTCCAAGCTATGGCAGGCTTAGGTCAACCTTTTCTTCTCGTTTTCAGCTGCATATGTTAGGAGGCTTGTATCATCTATACCATGTCATTTCAGGTTCCCATAAGAACATAGTTTGATATTTCACCTCATGAGAACATGACTTGTGTGATGTATATAAATATATAATGGATGAAGCATGTGTATTGGTAACGTATATAATGAATAAAATGTGCATTTTTCCTCCCTTTTTTCTTTCTTTTTGTTTTCTAAATTCATCGTAGGACAGTTATTGGAGACGTGTTTTGCCAATCCGCGTCTCCAAGAGTCATTGGAGACGGGTTTTGTCAACCCGCGTCTCAAGGAGACAGGAGATCGCCCGACTAGAGCCGCTGGGCACAAGAGCGTGCCTCGCAGCGTCGAGCTCATGATCTCCATCGATCGCCTGCCAGTGTTCTTCCAGCTCCTCGTCACTGGATCCAAGCTGTTCCCAGACCCTTATCCCAGCAGCTCTCATCCTGCTCGGTGCCTTGCCGGACCAAACATCCGTCAGCGCGGTGCTTGTCAGGGACTGCCACGACCATCTCTGGGCCGGCACTGGATAAGCTTCATCCCAAGCTGAAGCTACTGAGGACAATGGTACATCCAGAACGGAACGGCAGCCAAGGAATACAAAAAAAAATGCGAAAAGGGAAATGGCTACATTTCAGGAATATAACTGTATTACTCATTTTATGTATGTTATGCATACAAAACTGCCAGTGAATCAAAGCTGATACAAATAAATAAAGCCACCAAGTTCATAGCATGGACATACATTTGCAGAGGGTTGCTATACACACACCACGATGGATGCATGGTGATCCATCAGTTTGACGAGTACCTCTTCGACAATGCCTCGTAATGTTTCCTTTGCTGTAACCAAGAGGAAAGAGAGGAATCGGTGAAAACAGGTGACAGTATAACAATGGTGAACAGAAAGATTAGCATGACAGCATGTCATCATGACAGAAAGATACCTGTTCAGATACTGATGGCTTCACCTTCAATAGAGCTTGTTCAAAGTGCGATAGTTCAATCAAACAAGATGAACTCATTGACGATGTGCCATTCTCAAGGAACTCCAATCTCTCTTCCAACGCTGCCATGGCTGCTTCATTCACCTAATGAAATAAGCATGTTAGTTCCATTTTTTGCCGGCTTTTGAATCATCGACCGATTTTATGTTCACACAAACGAGTGCTGCAATTAATTCAAATATCTAATTCATAAAGACAGGATGCATTCACCAGGTACCCATCTTCAAAGCCAAAAAGATACCACATTCTACATTCAGAAGCTAGTTAATACTATAGAAATTACCAGTGAGGCTAGGTCAGCACCAGTAAGATTGCTGCACTCCTCTCGACGTGCCAGTGCATCCAAATCAGCACCTGAGGCGATGGGCTTGCTTCGAGCACATACTTTTAGGCGCGGTTCGCTTCGCTGAAAAAACAAGTCGAAATACTATTCTAGTTGATTTATTGTGAAAGAAAAATACTGTTCCAGCTGAAAAAACAAGTTGAAAAAGACGGATTATAAGAGAAGCGAACATAGCCTTAATATTGAAACCCGTTCATCAGCACCAGGTAAACGGCCTGTTCGCTAGTTAGTTTCTGGGCTGATAAGCTCGACTGGTGCTGATTTATTGTGAGAAAAAACATTATTGGCTGACTGATAAGTCGTGGCTGAAACCAAACGAAGGCTGAAAGGTTCATAACGTTTCTTCCCGAATCTACCAGGCCGCAAAACAGCATCATCTATCACATCAATTCTGCACCAGAAAAGGGGTACAGTTATCGGCCTCCCATTCCGGGATAAATATATAAACAAAGGTCCATTAGCTACTGACAGTTACCTGTTTGTAGCTCCGATGACATAAACACCTTGACGTTGATCTTCAAGTTCAGTAAGTAACTGCAGACAGAAGAATCAGTAAATCAACAGAAAGGAAAAGAAATGTTAAAGAAGGTCCCAAAATATTCAAGTTCAAACCTGGGTTACGACACGTTCAACAACCCATCCCCCCTCGTTCCCTCTCTTCGTTGTCAATGCATCTACCTGTCAAATCAAAAGGGATAAACACTTGAACAAGATATTTCTATATATCAAAGTAGGAAGGTTTAGCCGCCAACCAGACCATCCACGTCGCCCGAAATTCCGCCCGCCGTCCGATCTCGCGTTCGAAGGCCCAGATCAGTCGAAGTGGATTCGGTTACTTTGCCCGCCTCTCGCAGCATCCACGTCACCCCAGTTGTTCCCGGCCGTCGGATCCGTGATCGTGTGGCCCTGACTGCTTGTAGCCGTTTCCTTTAGAATCTGCTTCTTCTGCCTCCTCGTCGCTCTATATTGATTTTGCTAGCTTCTGCGGCTTCTCGTGCGAATCCGGTGGAGCAAATATGTACTCCAGCTCCTGATTCTCCTTCAGGAAACTTCTCATCCCCTCCTCTCCTACGCTCCCTCCCTCGCTCCCGACTCGCGACGCGGCTCAGGCGACGGCATGGGACGACCTCGGCGGTGGCCGGCCCTCCGCGCGGCGGCGGCCTCCCTCCTCCTTCTCCTCCTCCTCCTCCTCCTCCTCCTCCACCACCACCACCACCACCACGCCACTTCCTCCTCGCGACGCAAGGCAGCGGGTCGCGCGGCCTAGGGTTTCGCCCCTCCGTCGCCGGTCGTCCCCATGGCCACGCAGGCAGCCAGCGGAGGCCCTGATGCGCTGGAGGGCTCTGGCGGCGGAGGAACCTCCATGGTCACGTCAGCAACCTCGGCGGTGGATCTGGAGCGGCCGCTCGCGGGGCCCATCTCGGCGGCGGATCTGAAGCTGGAGCACGGTGTGGAGCTCGCGCAGGCAACGGAGGCGGTGGATCTACGGCCAGCAGGCGGATCCAACGCGAGCCCGCCCCGTCTCTACTAGATCCGGCTGCATGGGCTCCACCAATGGCCGGCAAGGTAGGAAAAGAGATAAAGGGGATTTTTTGCTCAGCCCCCTTCCCGCGCTGCCTGAATTTGCTCATCCCTCAAATAGAACCTTGTCCTATTTACTTGGATAATGATCTCTGTTAGTTTCACATGTCTAAATTCAATCATACACTGATCCTATTGTGTGCCTTTAATTATATGCCACCACCAATAGGAGGTGTTTCCAAAGCCTGTGCTTTTAGCGCCAGCTTCTCATATAAGAGCCGGTGGCGGCCTGAACTTCTTGTGTGTTCATATGTGGATCATGTGCTGCATAGGTGAGTTCTATCTCTCATAGGTGTGTTCATATGTGGATCATGTGATTTTATGAAAAGATAAGTGGTAGATCAACTCGTCAGATAACATTGTAGCACCATCAAGAATTATCTCTATATTTTTTTGGAGTACCACTAAGCTAATATTAGTTGCTATGCCGTTTGTATGTGTATAAGTTGCAGCAGCAATGTAGTGCCTCATGGTTTGCTTTGCTTTCTAATAATAGCTTCTAAAAAGCGATCAGCTTAGCGATATAGGCTTATGCCTTGTTGCCTATGGTGCCTTTTAGCAAAGTGATCACCTTATCAATTTAGGCCTGCATCTTACTGCCTATATTTTATAGGAAAAAACTGCTTCTTTGTACGCCTAATCTGGCTGGCCAGCATTAGATGCAACCAAAAAAAGATGTTTGACTCAATATAGATCCATGATGATAGTCCTTGCTATAGGCTCATGTGATTTGCAGTGATTGTGTGTTGACGCTGGTTGAGTCATTATCAAGGTACACTTTGTTAAGCTATATTCTTTCATGTTTTTTAGTGCACTGGCATTTATATTGTCTTTTGTTGTTCAAAATGTAAACTTTCAATTTCTCTTTACGACAATTCTATTCATAAGATCGGTATGTGATGCCTCTGTTTGCCTCATGCAGTTAATTGTCTTAGGTAAACTCACAGAATTTAGGAGAGGAGTTCTCTAACTTTCAGAAAATCTGCCAGTTGATGTTGATGCTCAGATTAATCTTTTTGAGGTAATGCTATATCATTCTTTACAGTAGTACACACAAGATTTCGAGAGTCAAATCAGTTCTGCCTTTTTTCATTGTTTTTTGGATATTTAGTGTAACATGGAATTGTCCTTTCCCCTGAGCAATTTTTCTCTGTGTGTAGCTTGTAGAGAGTGAAGCTTATTGGTTGATCATGGACACTGTCAAAGAAAGATTT